TCTTAAGGTTTTCTCTAGCTGCAAGTACAGGACTGGTGAAAGGGGGTGAGTTTTAGCTGGTATATCCAATTGCCAGCCTCTCCTTTTTTTTGCACTTAAGGATTTTTTACTCCTGTGCAGTTACAGCTGTTCTGCTCAGATGGGGCGGGCTGTAACCAACACCCAAGAATGATGGGGGTTTGGTCCCAGGGAGCAGAGCATGCAGGCACAGGAGAGAACCATTGAGATTTGGGTAGCAAAGAAGTGGCAACACTGATACTCATGATGCTCCCAGCAGACGTAGGAAATGGAGTCTTGCTGTGTTACTCCTGGGAGAGACTCTGCTTCTGAGAGCTGTTTTCTCAGGAGAACCAAGTACAGCTTTTGGTGCAGTGACATGCACTGAGTCTGCTCACTCCATCAGTGCCTAAAGCACAGAAGGCAATGCTAACCATATAAAAACACTTCTAAGCTGATAAAGATGAAGGAATTGTATCAGTAATAGTGTGGCCAGCATGAACCATCCCCCTGTGCTGGGCACTGGTGAGGCCACACCTCAAATCCTGGAGTCAGTTTTAGGGGCCCTCACTCCAAGAAGGATATTGAGGGGCTGGAGCATGTGCAGAGAGGGGAACAGAGCTGGGGAAGGGTCTGGAGCACAAGTCTGATGAGGAGCAGCTGAAGGAGCTGGGGGAACTCTGCCTGAAGAAAAGGAGGCTCTGGGGGGACCTTCTTGCTCTCTGCAACTCCCTCGCAGGAGGGAGGAGCCAGGGGAGGGTCGGGCTCTTCTCCCAGGTAACAAGTGACAGATCAAGAGGAAATGGCCTCAGGTTGCAGCAGGGGATGTTTAGATTGGATATTAGGGAAAGTTTTTTCATGTCAAGCACTGGCACAGCCTGCCCAGGGAAGTGGTGGAGTCACCAACTCAAGGGGTATTTAAAGAAGCGCAGATGTGGCTCTCAGGGACATGGGTTAGTGGTGGGATTGGCAGTGCTGGGGGAATGGTTGGACTTGATGATCTTGGAGGTCTTTTCCAGCATAAATGAGTCCATGATTCAGTGAATTGGGAACGCAGTTGGAGACCACTGCTTCCACAAAACTACTTGTAAATGGGAGCACAGGAATTACATCACTTAAAAGCATACACTCTTGAAACACTGAGAACACCAGTCCACTAGACTAAGCACATTTTCCAGGAAATGGTGCAAAAAACTTTTGAAGTCAAGCAACACTGAAATAAAAAAAAAAAAAAAAAGGGGTCAGAAGTAGCTCCATTAATTTTCTTTGCCTCAGCTAACGCAGACTGTACGACTGTGTCTTCTGTTGTTTCTCTTTCTTCTTTCAGAAAAAAAAAAAACCCACAGCAACAGCAGAGGAAATGAATTGCGAGTTCCCTGCCACAAGAACATATGAAGGGGCTTTCTCTGAAGCACGCAAGGAGCTCCCTGGCTTCAGCTGGGACTGGATGTTCAGCATATGCTGCAGGGCTCTGCCAACGTGGGATCTACCAAGTAGAAGCGGGACAGAACGTCTGTCTGTGCACGGCCAGAGAAGCTGAGCCGAGGTGTTCGCACCACGGCGGGAATTCGCTGCCTGTAGGAAGCGTTCAGCTTTTTGGCAGGGCACACAAGAGACTCCAACCCCGCTAGAGGGTTTAGCCTGGAGAGAAAGAGGCTCAGGGAGGACCTTATCACTCTCTACAATGCCCTGGAAGGAGGTTGTAGCTGGGCAGGGCAGCACAGAATACAAGTGTGTTAATATTCCTAATTAACAGAGAAAATTTACAGAGAAGATGCAAGAGGGAATAAAACAATTCCCATTACTCTGAGGATTTTCAGACTTCTATGGAACACTCCGGCAGCTTCGGGCCCAAAACAGATGGAAAAGGAAGAAAAATCAAAGGGATGGGGTGTGTGGGAGAGGTGGCACAAGGAATGTGCTCCCCTGCATGTAAAGCAAGAGCGAGGCACAGGGCAAGACCCAACTGATCTCTGTGTACAGGGAATACAGAATTGGGCTAAAGGTTGTAGTTTACCTGGAAACCAGGTGATAAGGTGAGTACAGCCCCTTATCAAATTTTAATATGAAAGCTTTGTATTAGCTTTCACAAGCTAATACATATGTATAAGGAATGTATAATACATTGTATAAGGAAAGCTGTGCTGTGGCCTGGAGCAGGTTTATTCTAGCACTGAACTCATGCCCACACTGAGGTTTTTGGGTGCAGGTACTGAGACCCTCAGCTCAACATCTGAAACAGGGCAAGGTTCAGCCTATTGGGCAGGCACCTATCAATGTTTTCTAACAGAACAATAAAGTTTTCAATACTGAAGCCTCTGTAAGCTTTAAAAGTGTAAAAGCACCAAGTTAATATACTTCTGTAATTAAATATTTACATTATTTCAACTCATGCAGTACATTTAATTGATATTTTCACTAAAAGCCTTCTGCTTTGTTTTTTTTTTTTTCTCCCTGAAACTGGATAGTGACATCCCACCAGTCTCCAGTTCATTATTGGGAGTCAACAACAACCAGCTGGGGGATGACTTCACTTACTTTCCTATTCCAGTTGCATATAGTCTTCTAAGACAGCTAAAGGTGAGCATTTAAATGCCCCAAACACACAAAACATTGCAACAACAGCAAAGAAAAAGATCCAAAAGCACTCTGGGGTGTGCACTTCAGGATACTTACAGCAGGAAGTAAAACACTTTCAGGATTAAGACTGATTTAAGTTGACGGTGTCACTTCACATTCTTCAGGTAACAGACTACTGTATCCACGACAGGAGTGAGCACCACAAAAATAAAGAAATATTTAAAAAGATTTCTTGCATTTTGGAGAAGATAATTTGGATAAGCAGGAAATTAAGGGGAAAAAAAAAAAAAAAAAAAAAGAGGACAGGTTTGTCCAAATATCCTAATCCTCCTGTCCAGAACTTAGTCTAGGGACTCCACAGGTTATTTTAAAAACAGACCACAAAATCTTTTGTTTCCTTAAAAGCCTTTTTAAATTATTTTGTACTGCATGCCTGTAACGAACCCTGAATTATTTTGTTACCTTCTGATAGTTTATGGGATTGATATTTCAGAGGAAGGTGACTGTTCCCACAGAGTTACATTTGGTGCTCATGAGCCAGCAGCAAACTCTGACCTCCTATTTCAGAGTGAAGGGGAAGAGCCAGGATGCAGCTTCAGCAAGATGATACTTCCTAAAGACACTCAGCAGGACACTGGACAGTGTCACAAGCACTTCTACTAAAGTAAAGGGAAGAAAACTCATAGAGCTTATTGTATTTACTTCACATGTGCTTTACTGTACAAATAAACTCCCCATTTCAGATGTCTGCTCAGCAAGCCTTTAATTCCAGACAAGTCCAAGTGGCAGCTCACAAAGTTTTGAATCCTGTTTAATAGGATTAAAAACCTCTAGCAAATATCTTAAAGTGGAGCCTGCACCCCAGAAAAAGGTGCTAACTGGGAAGAGAAAATAAACCTGTCCCACAGCTGTGGCTGCTCAGTAGGACCTTAGAGAGGCTGCAGGGAGTTTTAAGCTCTCCCACTTCCAGTAAAAACATTGGAAAGCTTGCACGACAATTGGTGAGTGCAAATTAACTTCATCAGTGTATGAATTCTTGTTAAACTGATGCAGTCCTGCAAGCTCACAAATGAGAGCCAAGCACCAAGTTCACTCAACTCCCAGAGCCTCTTCTGTGTATGTGTGTTTGCAGGGATAATTGTCATATTATTTCTGTCATAGAATCATTAAAGTGGGAAAAGACCTCTAAGACCATCGAGTCAAACATCCAGGAACTGTAAACAATTCTTCTTGCAACTCTGCCAAATTCACCTTTGTTCCTTCAGAACATACTAGAATAATCTCTTACATTCTTAAAAATTGCTGAAAACTAAAAATGAAATGAGTTAAACGATTTAACTGGGCTTCAGGGTTCTGCTTCTTTTAAAATAACTCACATAAATGCAGGCTGATTAAATTCAGCCACAATGAACATCTGCAGTTAGCTTAGTGTTTCTATCTTAACTGCTCTGATGACATTCAAATTTATCATCATGTCAAGATTAAAAAATTATTAAATGAATCAGCGATGCAATTCAGAGGTGTATTATTCTTTGGCTTTGGGGAAAAATACATTAAAATGTAAATTTGCAGTGGGATGGGATAAAACATTCTTTTCATAAATGCTGAGCTAGAAAGGGATATACTTTGTCTCCCATGTTTGCTCCATTAATGTGAACCAAGACTAATAGTCAATCTTATCATAGTAATTCCAGTTTTTTACTCCACAGAAAATATTCCTTTATTTTGCTGGACAATTCAGTAGTTCTGATTTTTAATCCTGATAGGGATAGGGCTGAATCTTTAAGATCTTTTAAAAGACAAGTTTAATCCAGGTCTCAGGTGACAGAATCCCCTCCTGGCCCCTCCCCAGGTTTAATTTATTTAGTCCATGCCAGAATCCTTCCAGCTCTCTGCTGTCTATAAAGATTTCTGTGGAAGACAATTGTGAGCCTCACTGGCTCATACAGGCTCATTTTCTCTCCAAATCATAAAGGCTAAAACCAGTATAAATATTTATTTTAGCCTTCAGAATCCCTAAATTCTTAGAAATTACATTACAAAGATCCAGCTTGTATTTTCTACTACTGAATCTGAATCAGGCAGAAGTTAAAAATATATTTTGCTCCTGTGTGACATGGTTTTCCAAAAGTTGGGCATCCTAATCAATCCCTAGTTCTCTTGAAAACCCCAGACCAGGTGGGGAACGCCAGGGCTGAAGCCAAGCACATGCTGCTTTATGTTGGAATTTCAACATGTAAGGGGAAAAAAAAGTGAAAATGGGGAGTTTTATTATTGTGACTAAGAGTGATCAAAACAGGCCCTCAATATTCTGTTTCAATCTACCTCCCTTGAACCAGAAAACAGAAGGAGGCCTGGTAAGTTTGTAAATCAGGGACAATAAATGTGGGAATGGTTTGTAGCATTGCACTCAAATACACACACACGATGTCATTGCCTGTTTTATTTAGTGGAATCACTTTTGTAGATTAGAAATATTTCCAATTCCCGTTTACTCCAATGCAAGCCTCCACCATTGACAGGCGAAACGCAGTTTGTTCGACTGATTCCAAACCAAAAAGAAATAATGAAGAAAAAGAAGAAGAAAAAAAAGTACAATCTCAAAAGTTAAGTTAGAAACTAAGTTCACACATTTTCTTTGGGACCAGGAATCTGTACATAGTACAAAATATACATTTATTGAACTTTCTGTAAACACACAGTTTGAATTGTGTAAAACTGTAAATAGTGGGTGAACTACGTGGAGAATAATTTATTATATATTGTTATACATTCTACTTAAGGAAAATAGTTATGCTCTTGTATATTACTCTGTTAAATTTATAAATTCCATAATGAAGCTGTGTAATCTGCAAACATGCTTTTCAAGCTTAAATCTCTCCATTCGTAACACACATTTATACAGGTCATCAATGAAAAAAGTTACACTTTCCACAAAATAGATATAAAGAGGTCATGAATTTTCTAAAAAGACAGGCACAGCATGTCACTACAAACGAGACTCTTTATGATACGATCTGCAGTCAATTCTGTGAGAAGACAGGTGAAAACTCTCTAATTCAGCATGTTTGTACATGGTCTTAGTAACAAGACAGATGCTAGAACCCAAAATGTCTGCTTATAAAGATTTATAAAATAAGAAGGTCCTGGAACTCAAATCTCACACTTTTCAGACATCCAGCACTCCCTGGCTTAGGAGAACCTTGGCTTTTGTCTCACACTAACTCTTCATCACTAGTAATTTAGTTTTCTGAGCACTGAACTACCCGGCACCATTGGCCAAGAACATTTGCATAATTCAGCACTTACTCCAAAAACTAGATTCCTGGCACCAAAGAGTTAGATCTAGTTCTTAAATACAACTTAACTCTTGGCACCCAAGGTCATTGCAAATCACACCATCAGCAATAACAGGCTGGGAAGTCCCAACTCCCAGCACCCAAAGGCTGCAGGGCATTAACCCACAGAATGTGGGGTAACAGGTACTGCAGCATCTCCTGTACTGGGGATCTGGTGTGTAATACCCACTTCCCAATTTCAGAGGCTGGAAATTTCAAACTGCAGCAGACTTGTCAGTCTGGCATCACTCAGCAACGATAAAAGGTTCCCCTGTCAACATTGTTAAAGATCCTTTCATAGAATGGTTCATAGAATGGTTCATAGAATGGTCTGGGTTGGAAGGGACCTTAAAGATCACCCAGTTCCAACCTTTCAGTAGGTCCATCACTGGACATGGAAATAATGCTATGCAAATTCAGCACATTTATTCCTATATTTTTAGGGTCTCATTGTTCTTCCATCCCAGGTAACCCATTTTGGGTTTCATCCTTTTACTTATTTACAGCTAAAAGCATTTTGTCAAACCTCCTAAACTGTGCTCTTCTGAGGTGTTAAAAGGAAAAAAAAAAATCTTAAGATGCTTAAAGATTAAATGAAATTGTCTCCAAATAATCTAGCCTTTTGCTTTAACATCACCATCTCCTTCCCTTTGGCTCTGAAAAGCTTTTTCTAAACCTACACTCGATAAAGATTACACTTGTTTTTCATTCCAAGGGAAGTGGGACACTTAAGGCTCCAACAACCCATGTGCAAACTTTATATGTTGTGAGCAAAGCTCCATCAGTGTCAGCAAAATGTAAAGCTCAGTCCGTGCCTGATTTTCCCAAGCCTATTTTAGTCTAATTTTTCCCTGCAGCGTGAACAGAGGGAACAGAACATTGTGCCTCCAATCTGAAATCCCCCCAAAAATGAAACTGGCCACCCAGTATTTGCACTGCTCAGAATGAGTGGAATTCATTTATACAGGTGAAAATAAACTCTCGACCTTAATCTACAGGAACTGATAGAAGTGCATAATGTCTTATGACCCAACATGTTTCCTCCTTTTTCTTTAAAGTTATTTCTAAAACTATACAACAGTGGCATCTCCTTCAACTCTGGAGGCCTCCTCACAACACACACGGAGAGTCCTGTCCAATTTGGCTGTAAAACCCCTGCGCTCCCACCAGCTCTTCACAGCCAAAAGCCAGTGGAAGCAAAAAGGGATTTCAGCAGTGGCTCAAGGTTCTGGAGCACGCTGAGAAGTGCAGATCTTGTGTTCCTGAAGGAAAACGGCACTACCTGACACATCAGCACCCACCCCTGCTTACACAGCAGTAAGGACCATTGGGTTTATTCTTCCTATTTTTGAAAAAAAAAAAAAAAAAAAAGGAAAAAACAAAAACAAAGCAGATGCCTAGTGATATTTTAAAAAGCATTTGGGCAGGAGTCAGTACAAGTTACGTGTAAAAATCTGGCTAGGCATAAACCAACACATCCTCTAGAAATCTGACCTGTCATCCCACCTCCACTGAAGTTCTGACACTTTCGGAAGAGAATGATTCCCTTAATTCTGTAAAAGGCATTTTTAAAGTTAAGCCCACTTTCTCAACTTTTTGTGGTGGCAAAAGTTAGGGGTTTTGTGGTCACTGCACTTAAAGCAAGCCTCTCCCAAAACTCCTTCCTAGGACATCATTATCACTCCTGTTCCCTCAGCTTGGAAGCAAAGAAGTGTCTATATGAGAGGAAAAAAAAAAAAAAAAAAAGATTTGGTTTACTGCTACTCAAAAGGAACATCAAATAAAGCAAGGAATATACATAAAGCCTAAGTCATTATAGGTCAACAACTGACACAATCAGGAGATTAAAGCTCAGGACATTTTTTCATATATTAAGTGAAATATTGTGAAATAAGTGAAATAGCAGAAATATTTGTCATTTTTCCGGAAACAAGTTTTCGGGGGGAGAGAATGTAAACTCAACTTCGAGCACATCTATTTTTTTTTTTTTTTTCTGCTTGGATGCATTTAGTGGTCCATAAGAATAAAGAGGAGCTTCAAGTTTTCCTACAGCTTCCTGAACTCCTGTGAACATGTGCCACGGCCCAGGTGACTGCTCCTCGTTTATAAAGCAATGTTATTAAGCAAAATAAGGCTCCAGTGTTTTAAGATGGGCACACCCGGGTCTGCAGAGACCTGCAGATAGTGCAGCACCCCACAGAAAGAGCTCACCAAAAGATGACCTCTGATCAGTATTTCAGACAGGTCAGTCTAAATTATTTAGCCTCAGAGTGGTACTTCTAAATTTTGCTCCTTTTTTAACTGTTTACGGCAGGAATCACATTCATTTTATGCCCTACAGAATCCTAGAAATTCATGTCTGGAGCCTTTTTTTTACCACTTCAAGAGTTAAAAATCCTCTCCAGCCAAACAGAGTTTACACCCTGAGCTGGTCTGTAAAGGCTCAGGTGTGGTCACAGGTAGTGGTAGGAACAAGGAGCCACACTCGTTATCTAGGAAACATTATTCTTCATGTCTTGTGAAGTTTGGCACAGAGTAACAATTCATTTCCTACAGAAGAATGTCAGGTACAGCTCTGTAGCTCTACAGTTTTGCTGTTTCTGAACCTATGCAAGGTACATCAGGTTTGTGTCAAATACTGTCTTTGCCGAAGGATGAGGAAAAGGGCCCTCTTTTCCTAAAGGTCTGCCCCTTTCAGACACAGCCAAGTTTAAATATCAAGGAATTCAAATACACCAAGTCATTTGTGCATAAAAGCAATTCAAGAAGGTGCAGGTAGAGATGAAGGTGAACATCTCAGCATGATGAAATCCTGATGTACACTGAAATAAGGTAACCTGTAACAACCATATCATTAATCTAATTGTGGCAGCCGTGCTGTCTCTCCCACAGGAGAGAGCCACACACCCCTAGAGAACACAAACACAAGGTTTGTCAGCACGGAATTCACACACAAGACATTCAGACCAAAGTTTGGTGATTCCAGTTTTAAGAAAAAGAATGTTTACCAAAGCTAAATGTCTGTCATAAGTACAGAGCGGGGAAAGATCTGCAAAGGCTTCGATACTCCCTACACAGGCCATCATTTATCTGGGTGTGGTTTCCCAAACGGCGGCAGGACGGGTGGTGCGAACATTCCTTGCTCCCAGTCCTGTCTCCCCACTCTCCACCGTGCCCTAGCACCAGCACCCCACAGCTGGATTATCAACTTACCCAGCTGAAGAGGACAGGGCTTTTCTTTGTCCTAACTCCGTGCCCACATAAAGGCAAGTACTGGCACAAAAAAAAGGCAGTAGGGACAAACTTGGAGCAACATTTGACATAAGTTTATCATGAAACCATATCCTTAGTTCATAAATTACTAGAAATGGAATGCAATAGGAAGTCTATCCTACCCCAATGTATAAAAATAAGATGGGATTCTTATGAGGGAATCAATTGAAGTGAAAGCTGTTCCCGAATTTTGTTAAGTTTCCAATTCTTGAGCTGAGCAAAATGGCTCAGACCTCTACTGAGTTGAGACAGCACCAGCTTCGCAATAAATAATGGACAATAAAGTCAGTTCATTACAAGGAAATGTTAAAAAGATCAGCTTTGGCACCTGCATGACCTCTCAAGGTAAGTGCTACCATTGCTCATCTGCTGCTCAGTATTCAGCAGTCACCTCGCTAGCACGACACAGCCAAGGATTAGTGCAGCTCAGTGACAGGCAGATAGAATTTCTCTCTCCGATTCTGAGTTTTGCTCAAGGTTTAACTGAATGATGGCTGTGCCTCAAGGTCTTGGTGGTGCTGCTCCCGGGCCAGGTGAGAGCAAGCCCAGCTGAAAGGCTCTGGCTTTATAACTCGATGGGACCTGCTGATTTCTGCCCCGCCAGGGACTCTGCTGACGAAAGGGATTCACAAAGCCTTGCAAATCTAGGACCCTGATCAATGTCACGGCATTCAGTTCATCCAACATTCGTTTAAAACACATTTTAGAAGCTTCTGTCTTGAACATATTTCAATGCTGAATTAGTGAGAATTATTTGAAACAGTTGTCTATAAAGCAGTACAGGTATTCTCCCAGAACGATCAGCGAAACATTTAATCTGACTACAACAAAACTCACAGAAACTGAAGCCAGTGAAGCTGTCAAATGTAGAAGGAAAACAAAAGTTGCATGGCATACGAAGCAAAGAAGCTTTACAAATGTCATTTCCTTTTAAAAACAAGCAAATTGGGACCATCCTATTTGAACATGTATTTAAAAATACATCTTTTAACATCACACAATTTTCATTTCCATCACACAGGAATCTTTTTCCAAGAGGGAAATAAATAGCACACAATACTTCAAAATAAAAATTGCTGCCTTGCCCCTGAGGTGCTAATGTTTTTAGCATTTAAAAAAAAGTTTCTGGTGCAAGAAGGAGATGCACAAAGGTGCAAAAGTGCCGTTTGTTTTTTTTTTTTTTCTTTTTCTTTTCAGAGCAGTGAAATAGTACAGCTTGCCTCTTCTCTAGGATGCTTTATATACCCAACTCATATACTCTGTAATCAAAATCTGTATCTAAAATGGCAGTGTTTATGCATACACAAGAATTCAGTGCTCTGACCTCACCGAAACGCTGAACGTAGGCGGGAGAGAGAAAGGCCTGAAACGGGCTTTCTTCCACTACCCTCAAACCTACTCACATCGCCTGTAGCAACAGCAGAATTATCTCCTTTCTAACCTTTAGGAGACCTCGCCAGAAGAGGCTTCAAATATCTCCTTTGTCACTGAGACAGTTTAAGTGATTGTGGTTTGAAGTAAGTATGGCTTTTCACACCACAGTTTTGCTTCCGATTCGTATAAGTTTAAAACTCAAAGGTTCCACAGTCCAGTTCAAGGTTTTGCAGTTTCCAAAACTAAACTTTAGTCTCTATGAAAAAAGGACAGAACTTTCTCTGCCTAGTCCTAAATTAAGTTTAGCTTTTCGCACTAATATGCCACGTATTATTAAATATGCTTGTTAATTAGGTGCCTGTGAAGCTATAACTTAACATTATTATAGTTGTGCACTCTACAACAAAATTAGACATTTTAAGCATTTATTCATAGGTAGGTAAGGAACTGGTTCTTTAAGCAAAAATTGCTATAAATTTATAAATACAAATAGTGCTTATGTTTTCTTCATTCATGCTTGAACAGATTACAAACTGAATACAATGAAGTTACGTTTAAGCACCCCACATAGACAAGAGGGATAAAAGAAAAGTTTGCTGGTATATACTATACTTAGTTCCAAGACACTATAAGTTACTTTTTTCACTGTTCAGTGTTCCCTAACTCTGCATTAGTTTTAAGGCTATATATACAAATATGTATATGTCAAAGTTAGGGAAAGACAAATATAGCAAAATGCATTGTACTACGTTTTCCTATCAAAAAGTAATTATACACCAAGTTTTGATTCTGTCTAACTGCAGTAAAATGTTACAATCTACTTGTTTTACTGATTTTCCTTTTGGGGAATCTGCCTACTAAATGAGTAAACTACATATTAAATACAATATTCTCAACCAAAAAGACAATACAAGGTGCACAAAACAGCAGTTTTGCAAACACGACTGACTTGGAAACTTAATTTTCGTATGCTCAATGGGAGAAAGCTAAGCTTAAATCAAATTAGTTTATTACCTTATAAAATTTTAAATTAGAATTTTAAACAACGAACAGTTAAATATTGTCAACATGCTATACCTCAAATCACAAGTACTGTTTAACCACTAGTCTCTCATTCTAAGTAAGTGGGTCAATTAAAAACACACACCATAAAATGTTAAAGATTGTCAGGCTTTGACAAATGTATTTTTATCAAACAGTAGGCAAATTCAAACCAATGCACATCTTCAGTAGGGAGGGGGGGGGAGGGAAACCAAACGAAACACCACCAAAAAGCCTGAAAAAACCCACACTTGTAAAAAATAGGGTAACGGATTAATCCCACATCATCCTCTAGCATATGGCTATGTCTTGGGCAATAATCAAAATCCTTCCCATTTTAAAAATGGGCTACCAATTAATAAAAAATATTCTTCCACAAGTAAAATATCATTTACAATGGCACTGACATTTTAAAAGGCAGGAACAAAGGAATTACACATTTATGGGTAAATGTCTTGTTTGTTAAATCAAGCTTTATTGATAAAATGGAATTCAGAGTATTTTACTTGGAACAGCAGCAGACCCAGCCAATCAGGATTGTAAAAATGCTGCAGACTCCTACTGGACGTAGAAAGCTGCCTGCTCGTGCTCAGTGATTAGCAGTTTCAGGTGAGGGTTAATGGACAAAGAGGTGCGAGGAATCACGGCATTCTGATCCCACGATTGGTATGAACAGGATACGTGTGATTTAACTCCCACTGAACTCAAAAATCACAAATCCCTTCGACTCCACGTGAGAGCAGGAGTGCATCCAAGACAATGATATACATTTGTTGAAGGACGTGCACTACTTTTAAGTTATTTTTTCCCACTGCCAAGCAAAATTCACACACTGTAATTTCTGGTACGTTGCCCACGAGTTCAGCTTTCATATAAACCAAAAAGTTATCTTTACAGTTTTGTGCACCTCCTGAGCACCTAGCTGGCTAGGCTGCTGCTCCTTGCAATCCAAAACCACAACATGAATTTAAAAGGGATATATATTGTTGCATCACACAAGCCAAAACATTTCTTCTAACCTTTATAGTGATTTAAAGCGGTTCATAATTAAATATGAGCATTTTGTACAAAGACAATTGCACTTTACAAAAACAAAATCATACAACATAAATTGCTGGAGTCTGATTTACAACATGAATTATGGTTTGAAATCACGTTTACAGGAGTCTGTTTTACAAAAAAAGATCAGTTCCTGGGCTAGGTGTCGTACTGCTGTAGTCACTCTCACCAACACATCATATTCCCTTCTTTAATTAAGGTTGAGGATGGATGTTAAGAAGGGTCACTGAGGTTGGGCTGCACTTTCATTTGCAGGATGAAACGTGAACTCCACAGCTAGATGAGCAGTTTTACCACATATCATCAGTTGAGGCAGAGTCCTTAAAGAAAAAAGAAGGAACCCTTTAAAGTCTGGAGTGCCCATTCTTGCAGTTTCTGGATAATCCAGACTGAAAAGGGTGAAGACTTAAATCATTTCATGAGTCTTGTTTTCTCTCCCCTTACAGAAAGAGCATTTAAGAAGTATGTAAAATCCATATATTCTTAATAAATGAAGCATTAGAACCAAGACATTTGAAAATCTGACCGAGTGTTGTATCGAGCCTCAAAATAATATCCCAGGAACACTACTAAGAAGCATTTCCAGGGTACTTAGAAGTAATACAAAATGGATACACTCAGTAAACAGGTGTGACAAAAGAGCAGGATGTGCCTCATGACATGTGTTACCACCACTGTCATCTTTGGTGTTCTCAGCCCTCTCTCACTGCAGAAGAACGCAGAGACTTAACTGACACCCTGCTAGAACTCAGAGCTATTTCAGCACTTAGAATTTAGGGTTAGAGATGTGTAGCTTGGACAACGACAGGAAACCCTAATTTTGGATAGTAATAAAACCACAAGGGGAAAAAATTAATGTATATAACCAAAACAACAACAAAAAAAAGGAAGTAGAGCCATGTCATGCTCCAAATCATAAACATACGGCCACCCATCCAACACCTGAGTGTCATTGGACAGCCACAGAATGTTAAGGGGTTGGAATGGACCTTAAAGATCACCTGGTCCCAACCCACCCTGCCACAGACAGGGACACCTCCCACTAGATCAGATTGCTCAAGGCCTTATCCAGCCTGGCTTTGAACACTGGCAGGGCTGGGGTATCCACCACCTCCCCGAGCAACCTGTTCCAGTGTCTCTAAAATCTGGTCCATTTAGGCCCACGGGCAAGAGTGGATTCTGTGTAACTATCACAGTCCTGGAAAATGTTTAACCAATCCCTGGTTTAACCAGTGTTTAACTTTACTAGGTGTTTTTTAATCCAGTTGCCTTTGTGTCACGTCTGTTTCCTTCTCCCTTGCTCAGACTGCTCTATATTCAGCTTTCCCTCCCTGCCCCCTCGGGGGGTGTACACAGGTTAACCACAACTAACTGGGACCACAGCTCTGTAGCTGAAGCAACAGCTAAATCAACAGCACAGGCATCAAACTGCTCCTGTGCAGCCAGCTTTGGTTTGGTTGTTTCAGCATCACCTGCTCCCCTTTCCGTGAGTAATTAAGGGCCACCGTGGCCTTTAACAACAGCGTATCCTGGTGCTTCCACAGCTACACTTCCCCGTCATTACTAAGACTGCAGGAGGGAGAAATATTACTCGTCTTTAAAGCACTGCCTTACTGCTCCTCGGAGAGAAAAGAGGCTAATTAAGTCTTTAGCAATGCCACACACGATAATTTCTTAGCACTGAAGTTCTGCACCCTTCACTCAAACTCGCACACAGAATCCATTACAAACCATTGAGAGGGAACAGTTGGCACGGAGGTGTAGTAAAAACAACACAAACCGAAATTACCCTTTGCAAAAGTACCACCTCCAGTTTTTCCTTCGAGACCAGAAGTAGCAAAGGAGAACAATTATATGAAAGACCAAAATGGTTGTTTCATGTGCAAGGATGAAGAATAAACGCAGTATGAGTAAAAACGCACGAGCTGCTTGCCAACTATTCCATATGCAAATTTCGGTATCCAAGTCACGAACATCATCACAACGTTTGTGTACTGTACATTTGTAGGACAGCAACACAGTACAGAATGTATTTTGAAGGCAAAGCATCCTCTCTCAGCCACTATTTAGGAATTTTTATGCTAAAAATAGAACAAGGACAGACGAATAAATGAATGCCCAACTCCTTATTGTCTGGATGCATTTCGCTTACGTCACATTTAAACGATTTTTGCTGACAGGTAAAGGATTAGTTTAACCAATTCATGACATACAGCACTTCTGGTGACCAGAACGTTGTTTCTGGTGATCAAATTGCAACTGGGATCACAGTTCACATTCTAGAGGTTTTCTGTTTGTGGGGTTTTCTTCCCACTGACAGTGGCTTTATGTCACTCTCATCATTGACACAGAAGAACCCAAACTGTTTTCTCACTGTAAGATACTTTATGCTTAAGAATAGAAGTGTTTATGCAGTCCACTTGGTAAGCTAATATATTCTTAAAGCTGATAATTACACATCTGTTTAACCCTTAAGTATAGCCCTTATTTTCTTGATGTTTGGGGGAAAATGTTGCCCAAAAAGAGGGGAAAAACCCCTATGACTCTTTCCACCATTTGGCAGCATTTGGACACCCAGGCAGGACTGAAATAATGAAGTTCTAGAGGACAAATGAGTCAAAACATACTGGAGTTTTGAGACTATGATCAGCAGAAGGTAGCAGAAAACCACCACGAAACACAGTCCCAAGAGCACAACATTGCTATTCCTCGCTTGGGGAAGGGGTCTTTAACAGAAACTAGCAGCTAAAATAACTGGGGTGGGGGTAAAGGTAATGTAAGAGAAAGGATACTCACAGCATCATCATTCCTGTAGGGGTTCAGTCTGTTATAAACGGCTTCAATCACACTCCGTCTAGAGCAAAAAAAACAAACCCCACAAGATTTTAACGTTGTGCCCTTCTTTTTCTCTAAAGGCAAATTCCCTAAGTACAGTTTTAATTCAAAATATAAACTTTAAAAGGTTGTAAATTCACAGAATACTCTTCTACAATGATAAGTCCAATACTCTTCAGCGACTTTTCTCCAAAATTAAACTGCAAACAGCAGCTTTGTGTATTCTATCTTCAGACTGAGGCAAATTTTGTCTGGCTAAACATATTAAAAAATTATTTCAATCATCTTGACAGTTTCCTCCTTTTAAAAAACCCCATGCTTAGCATACTTAAGATAGCTTGAAATTAACCTTCGTCCCTGGGATTCTTGGCTTTTATAACACTGCTAGAAAATTGGTAAGAAATAGGTGAATAAATATGAATAGAAAATTTGCAATCAGCATGTAAATGAGCAATATGATTTTTATTTATTTAACACAGGGTGAAAAGGTTTTCTTGAAAACTGGTAGTAAAAAAAAAAAAAAAAGAAAAAAAGAATCCAATGTGAAGCTGAAGGAAGAGGAAGCCTTTGCCTTTCCCAGTGTATAAGGAGACAACTTTGGAGGGGGAGCAGGAAGGAAAGAGGGGAGTAAAAAAATAGGAATTATAAGCTGGACTTTAAAAGCAACTTTCTTCCAAATCCCCTTCTGCAAAACCAAGTATGACGAAGTAGCAGGAGACTGAAACTGTGATACAAAACAAACTTCAAAGAACCACCTTTAAACTGCTGATGAATGCATGCAGAGCAATCACAAAGGAGTGCATGAAAAGAAAAAAAAGCAGATGACAGGCTTTGTAATCATCCCATAACACTGAAAAGTCAGGAACTACCATGAATAAACATCACAGTGAATGCAGTGAATGATTATAGGAAGAGGAGGCTGGATTTAAAGCAATAAAATGAAGCAATTACAGACAAAGTACATTGCATGTATGAACTGGAAAGTTTCCCTTATCTCTCAAGAAATAGGTATCTTTGATTCTAAATAAAGGCAAGTTTCTTGGAAAGCATTATATTCCTTCCAAATTGGCAACGGTGCTTTAAGTTACACAAACGCCCAATCAAAATCCACATTTCTATCAGTCCCTGCTCAAACCAGCATCACTAAGACACAAAATCCCACACAAGTCTGTCACTTCAGCGTTTCTTCACAACCATGATGCTACCACTAACCAAAGGAGATGCAGGAAGATCAATTTGCATGCTGTATTTCATGAGTAACTGACTGATACTTCGAGACTACAGCAACACATCCCAAATAGACGCTATTTTACATTAAACTGCCATCTCATTTTTTTCAAGTCAAACAGTTCATAGAAGAACAACTTTGTTTTGTAGAAGCCATCTTTAAAGTTACTTTATAATTATTCAGTTTATTCATTGATCATTTATTCAATTACATGGCTGAAGTCTTCACGTTTTGGTGTAACGATACAAAAACCATACTCTGAAAGGTTAAAAATAGTCTGTACCAAATGTGCCCAATTCATTTTAACGCAGCACAGGCTCATGAACAATCCTTTGAACCAAAAAGCACTTGGTTTGGGGTGCAAATGAGCTAAGGACATTGCTTCCTGAAAGACTGAACATTTGAGAAGCCACAGAGCATCACCACTGAACTCTTCAAGGACAAAGCCAGCCTATAGAAAGCTGGAAATTTACCTTCCCACTTTTTTTTGGATAGAATTCTATCTTGCTTTCAGATTTGTCACAAGCAGAGAGAAACAAAAGCAAATTTTTAAGCAATTACAACATGGCTTTAGCTACAGACAAGAAAAGCAAGCTGCCAAGCAAAACATCTTATGCATATCACTCCTTGTCAAAGTGCAGAAGTACATATCCAAGTAATTACTAAATTCAGTGCATTATTTTTGCATGTTCAAATGTAACCTCCCCCCCCAGAAACCCCAGTGAATTACAATTAAAAAAACACTCAGGCCACCCTTAAAAAACCCTCATTGCTTCCCAAAACTACAGTTTGACATTTAATTTTCGCAGTGATTCATAGTTAACTCCGTTCTTATGCCTGTTCTTTTCACTCAGAACAACTGAGTAATAAAAATTAGAGAACAGATCATCACCTTTTGTCCTGTACCCTTGTTCCCTCCCTTCCCTCCCCCCCTCCCCCCACCCACTTTTAAGAGTGGCCTTGCAGTTAAGTTGGGATTTAAATCAAAAACCACATGTACACTGATGTGAACTCACTTGCTTGCCAACTCCCCCCCGGGCGGGAGGTTTGGGATGCTCTCAGTTGCTAACGTACGCATCACGTGGACTAAGTCTGGCACTCCTTCACCCTGCTTCTTTATGATCTCTGGGAATCAGAAGTACTTTTTTTGTAAGTGCAGTCCAAATTTAACTTTAAAAGATTGAAACACTCAGTTTTATAAAAAGGCAGCTTAACATTAAAAAAATAATAGTAATTAAAAAAAAAAAAAAAAAAAAAGTAACGACAGACCATAACTCAACATGGTAATTGTTAACTTTGGTTCAGTAAGGAAAAGAACCTTTAACAGATTTGACAATGATACACTGCTGTTAACATACACACTGGTTTTGGAAATACACAGCTACCTAGTAACAGTGGGAAAAAAAAAACTCTTTAATGGCTTTCCTGCTAAACACTAGATAGAAGATGTAATATCTCCCCAACTAAATGCCCAGGGCATGAGGCAGATATTAACATCGGCTTTATGGCTGCAACACAACATAAAATATTATTGCCATCACAGAAAGCATAATATTTTCAAGAAACAAAACGTTAGACATATTAAAAATAACCCCCATGGCTGTATGTGCATCAGCAAATCCTTGTACCTTACTGCATCACATCAATATGTAAATTTTAGGAATTATTACATACAAATTAATAGCCAGGGACACCACGTCTAATTGACAGTTCCATCCTCAGCTCAGGGGATATTTAAATATTGAGCAGATACTTAAAAGCTGATCCACTCCAGCTTCTGGGTGAAGAGAATCTGTACTATAGCCACAGTCTCGTTTGCCAAGAAATTAATTCTTTAACTTTATTCTCTATTCTTTTTTTTTTTTTTTTTTTTTGGGGGGGGGAGGTGTTTGCTTTATTTCTTTTTTCCTCAAGCCACAAGCACACAATTTTATTTGAATTGATTTCAGACCACACCACCCCTGAAGAGCCGCTCTTTAAACGGGAGTTTTAGGAAACTTAAAGAACAAGCAAGAAATGCATCTCCTCAGTTTCTGTGTAATCAGGAGCTCTCAGAAATTAAAAAATACATGAATTATTAAAACCTGGTGCTGTTGATCTTCGAGTGAATACTGCAACATACATACAATAGTGTGTACATATGTGCACATCTATACATGCACACAGGTACAGGCACACTACTCTTCATGTAATAAAGCATTTACACAGTTGGAAAGTAGTTGGAATTCATCAGTACCACTTCTGAAAAGTACTCTAGTGTTCAGTTTTTGCCCTAAATAATTCCAGAAGAACACCCCGAGTTTCCAGTTTATAATTTGTGAGATAAAGCACATTGAAATCCTTTAAAACCGACATGTATTCAGTCCCTTTTAGTTAAAAAAGAATTAAAACCAACAGATGTGAATTACTTTTTGTTTGTGTAATACTTTTTCAGGGCTGTGTGTGTTTATAAAAATCATCAGCTCTATTCTGCAGTCAGGCTGTGTAAATTATTTGCAAGGTATAGTGGAAACACTGTCTAGTCCTCAACCAGCATCAAACTTTGCAGCACAAAGCTTTCAAGCTGTTTACTTCAAAACCTACAATTTAAATACATGACACCACACACCAGAGACCCCTCAAAAATTTGCCATTTCCTGTAAATCTAAAGCCAAACTTCATTTTACCCTCTAACATTTAGTAAGTAAGTAATCTAAGACTCTTAAATCTGAATAAGAAGCCAAGATCTCAGATTTGGTTTGCCAAGTTCCTTTATTGTGCAATTTCGAACATCTAGTATATGCTACATTGTGCTAGTGCTAAAGTTCTGCTGTACAAAAATAAGGAATTTATAGTTGACCTATGCTACACAGTTTCACAACCTGTAACTGCAGTACATTTAACATACAGTCTTCCACTAAATGAATACATTTATACTTTGATAAAACTATAGATACAGACTGAAAGAACACTGAAGACACAACAAATGGAGTCGGTCTGCTAGCTGCTTTTAATTTATTGGAATTATCTTGTTTCAATACACCTTCAACCCTCCCCCCGGTCTTTAATTTACTTTTAAACCTTCTACACATTTTCATGGCATCAAGTACTGGAAAAAATGTACTTAAAACCCTAAAATAATGGATTCAAAAATGGGAATTCCACACAAATTTTAAGAAAAAGCCAGAGCTTTGTTTTTGTGAAAATAAGGGAAGGAACATGTAACAGCTAGCTTAAAATTATTTATCTCTATATAGGTATAAATATTATAAGGATTATCTATTACGGAATGGTTTTATGTCCAAAAAAAAAAAAAAAAAGAGAGAACAGAAAAAAAGCTTTGACAAGTTTCTTTTTAGAGTCAACACATCAATAACACATATTAGTGCAAATAATAGCAACACATTTTGGAACGACTGATTACTTCTACCATGAAGTTCACAGGATATTTTAGGGGTAACATTGATTTATTGCAAGTAATGGCACAAGGATGCTTCTCCACACTTGCTGCTTTCTTCCATTATTTATTGCAGCTATGAATCTGGACCACAAACACATCAGAAGTAGTAGAAGGAGAGTGCTAAGTGACATGGTAAAGTAGAAAACTTCCTATGCTTTCTAAAATCTGAATTGTCTCTCCTTATTCAAGATGACCATCAGTACTAAGCCCTATTCAGTCTTAAAATCTACACTACTTTTTAACAGTATAAGGGTATATTCTGGGCTGAGGGAATAGAGATACAACCAGAAAAAGATGCACATTAGTAAGCATCGACTCCCATTACTTGTTGGACTTCACTGAGTACTGAAGTGCATAAAAATAGATAATATGCACTTTGACCAACTTTCCATTTTAAGAAATTTTAACTTTAAAATGATATTACAGATCAGTAAGATCATTCTACAAGTACTCTTTATATTTTCTAGTTGCTTCAGCCAAAAATTAGGCTTTTAAAGTTAAGCACTGCTATTATTATAGTATTCTAAGATAAGAGTGAGGTTATTCACTGTAGTGTATAAAGTTTCAGATGCTGTAGCAGTCCTACCTTACTACTCATTAAGGCATTATCCATTTCCTTCAGAAACAACTTAACTGCACAGGAATTAAGTTAAATGTAACCAAATTAATCAATTCCTGTTCTTGAAGTTCTGTTTTAGTTCAGCCTTTCGACTTCCCTCATGAGTAAGACCTCAAAGGCCAAACTCTGCCCAAGCTGATACAAATCACTGCTGGGGTGAGTAGTGTTTACTACATATTTATTTATTAATTTAAATAATATCTTTGTGCAACTATAGGCAAAAGATTGAGGAGAACTCTCAAAAAGAAGCAAAACCCTTGAGGGCAAGTACAATATATTTCCTCAGGGTGTTCAGACATCATTCCAATAAATTAGTACTAAAGTGCTTTATAACTACATACAGAATCCTTCTGCCTCTATGCAATTATCACACTTTGCTCATTCCTGAAATTTTGTACTTGTATAACTGCGAAGTACCAGCAGCCAAACTCATTGTATGTACCATAACCACGTGCAGGTCCAGTGTTTAGGCTCTTCCTTTGTAAAATGAAGCAGCTGTACAAAAATGCCAGCTTTCCTCACTGTAATACTCCTGGGGTGCAATGAGGCCAGCCGAAGAGGCAGCCTTGACTGGAACATATTTCCATATTCTAGGTCATGGGTTTGTCTGAACTCAGACAAAATATCTAAGATAAGAAGGCAACACTTGCCCAAATTAGGAGTGTTACCACGCTGTAAGTTAATGTGTGAATGTACAGCACACTTGTTCTCCACCAAATCCATGGGTGGGCACAGACACACACACAGCAAGCTCTCCCAGTGCCTGGTGCAAACCTGCTCCCTGCTTGGCAAGGCACGGAGCCATCTGACACTTCCCTCACACAGCGTGACCGTGCGCTCGTACTCCCGCCACGCTGTCAGGGAGATTCACACCATCGCTCTCTGCGCACCAACTTCTCCTCTCAGGCAGGTGTTAAGATTAAAGCACAGAAATGTCTGCCTGGACATTTGTTGAGGGGCAGAACAGATGCAGTTTGCCAAGACCTTGTGAATGAGGCCTTTGAGAAACGTGGTACTTTCTGAAGGAGCACCTACACAGGTTGTAAGTGGTTTAAAATTGCACATTAATTTGTCTGAACCCACAATTCCCACATAGGCAAGTTCTCTGTGAGATTTCTGAAGCTGCACTGTGTTATCTTCACGCAAGTTAAGGAGGGAAAAAGTGCATAATATACTCCTATAACTTACTAATAATCACTGCTACCATAGCTGTGAAGAAGTCTGCCTATTGTGCCCGGTGTGCTATTAAGGATTCTTGGGAGTACACACACAAAACTAGACTTGTAACATGTAGGTCTAGAGGAGTCCACTGCAAAAATAGACTTAACCTATGCAAATAATGCATACAGCGTGTCTTATGTTTCAGAAACACACTCCAAGCTGTGGTTGGTTTTAAATACCAAAAGGCACTATAATGCAGTTTTAACCGGAAATCCTTTAAATCAAATTGATTTCAAGTATCATTTTATGTGATCCGAAAAGCCCAAGATTGGCAGTTTCAGTTTATAGAACTCCAGAAGTACAATTTAAAAGAAAAATTTTGAAGTTGCTATCAGAGTAAGATGAGTTCCCAGCTCGTTTGTCATGAATGCTTAAAGATCAGCTTTCAAATAAGTAAATATATTAGCTTAAAGATTACAGTAATCAAGTTGTAACTCTGCTATAACTGGTAATAAAATATTACAGCTAACTGATTTGTACTTAATTATACGGAAAAATGGCACTCAAATTACCATCTTCATAGACACTTTGCAAGATATTTTGATTATTTCATTTAACTCCATGTAACAGGAACCAGGATTCACTGGTCTGTAGTTAGTGCTGTCAACAGACTCAGGAAGAACTCTGGGCACAAATGCATTCTCTGCCATCCTGAATAGTTTTCTGGGTTATAGGCTGCTGCACTTTCATAGCAGAGCTTTTTCAGGACATATATGAGTGCCTTTTTCAGACGTACACAGGATGGCCAACGGCACTTGAAGGTCTTATTAAGAAGCCTGTACGTGTTAAGGGTTTAGTTGTTGGAAGGGGAAGGGGGCCAGGGATCTGTTTAGAAACAAAGTTACTTATTTTTTTTTAAATGATCCACCTTCTACTCTGCTTTCCAGGTACTTGTCCAACTCTGCCTCTCTTTTCACCGCCTCTGGCGATACCTTTGGTGCATTCGGAAAACAGATCAATATCACACTCATGTTGTCTCGACTTCCCTGGTGGAAAAGAAAAAAGGATTTGAGAAATGTATACACACACCAGGCTAAATACACATCAAAGCATTTTACACATAGAAATTCACAAATCATACGGTATTAGAATCCAACTTTTACTACTATGGATTAATATTATCCTTAGCATTAATTTCCCCTCGCAGAATTCCGTGCCCGTTCATTCGGTACAACTGTTAAGTCACCAATTTGTTCTTTCCTCTTTTGTGGTCTGAAGACTACATGGAGCCAATTATAGACAGCCCATGGTCTTCTAAAAACTGGCATCAGTCATGAGTGATGTGTAATTACAAAGTTGTGTTCCACCTTATTTCAAGTACTATCCAATTGTTGGGGAAAACAGCTGAATATTAGATGAGTGAACAGAACCATTACTGCTTAAAAGCACTAGGCAGGAAAGTGCTGAATTAAGACAGTGCTTCCACCTAAAATCACAACTATTAGGTTCCACCCCCTCTTTTCTTTTGAATCAAGTAAAGTTACAAGTGAGAGAATTTGTTTGAAGACTGGCTGGGAAGAGCCCAGGCCTCTACAAAACCAATTCTTTGAAATGGAAACATTTAAAACCCAACTAAACAGAACCCCAATACTTGAATATGTTAAAATACAACAACATTCTGCTTACGCAAAGTAAATTATTTAGTTTGCTTTCAATAACCCTGTGCTCTGGTCTACAAAACACGCATCCATACGCTAACTTTTAATGATAACTAAACTCTTTGATGTCAGCAAGATCAAGAACAAGCCAGTGTTCAGAATGAGAGTGTCTGGGGGTATGGGGAGGTGCTGACAGCTGGCTCCTGCAAAGCTTACAGCATCCACAAGCCACTGTTCCTTTCCTGGAATTTGTTTTCAGCATTATAAAACAAAAATTGCAAACAAAACCATAAGCATTATCAATCTGCCAAAGTGTTGGAAAGCAATTACATTCTTCCAAACAGGAAACAATGACTCGGTTAGCCATGTGGCAAAAGCAGAGATGCTGTCTTGTCTCTTTAGAATCAAAAGTGTTGGTTTTTTACATTCTGACTTCTAGCTTGCATTTGGAAATTAAGTATCAAGCTACAAAACTCAGTGCTTGGAACCTCTTCTGCAGCTGCATCACCCTGCAACTTATAAATACAAAGTAAAAGTTATTGCTGACAAAATTACACAGATGCGTCAAACCAAAAGGTCCTGCCTTCTATTTGAGCTGGTCTCAGAGCTGTATCACGCAACACTGAATTAGAAATACAGTAATTAAACCAAAATAAACACTAACATAGGAAAACAGATCTTCATATAGTTAAGAAGGAACTTTAAACTGCAAAATATGAAGTCAAGGTTCATTATTCTGCATTTATCTTGGTGTAATTATATCAGTAATATTACTACTATATGTCAAAGAAAGGAGGAGAAGATTAGGAATGGAAAAAATGATCTCAAGCCTGATTAAGTCTTAAGAGCTAAGGTTTTGTAAAGTATGTTATGAAACAGAAAAGGGCAGTTATTGTCTTGCCCATAAATTCCCATCAGCTCCTAGTTTTCCACCAATCACAATGTATCTGTACATGATTATAAACTCTAATTGACCAAAACCACCAGAAAGACATATTGTTTCTCTTGTGTGTTCATTGCCCCTCTATCACAATTTCTGTGGGAGACACGGTCATTTACTGTCAAAGTCATGTTAACACAAACCATTGGACACTTATAGGCTGGAATCAAAACTTATTCTTAACTTGTTCATAAACTTCTAATAGTCAAATCACAGTAAACTCAGCTTCTCTCAAGTCTGGCTACCTTGTACAAGCAGGTGTCAACTATCTCATTGCAAACTTTCTCAAGGTCATCAGTGACTTCAAGTCTGGATCTTACAAAGTCACACAGCTCTTCATTTCCCATAACATCCCAGATACCGTCGCACGCCAGGATGATGAACTGATCGTCTTCTTCTGATCTCTCGATTTCATAAACTTCAGGCTCGGGGGAGACCAGCTGTTCTGTAGGACCTTTCCCATGGACACATTTGTAATCAAAGTCCCCAAGCGCCCTTGAAACAGCAAGGGAGCCGTTCACACGCTGAATCATTACGGAGCCACCTGCATTCTGTATGCGCTCCTTCTCCAGCGGATTGCTTGGTTTGTGATCCTGTGTGAAGAAGTGAACCTTCCTGTTTCGACAAAGCAACCCTCTCGAGTCTCCACAGTTGATGAAGTATGTGTGTTGGGGGGAAATCATGACACCCACAGCTGTTGACCCACTTCTGTCTGCGCCATGTTTCTTCTCCGAGATGACTCTCATGTGTTCATCAATTTGCAGGAAACCTGTTCTGATGCCGCTCTTTACACTTTCCACAGATGGTGGCCCATCTGGCCCTTTAAAATCCTGGTTGCTCGTGATGTGATCTAATAAATGCTCACAGCAGTACTTGGCAACCTGTGATCCAGCGTGCCCATCATATACAGCAAAAAATGACCATCCATCAAGTCCGTTTGGCAAACCGATCACAGCCGTGTGTGCGTCCTCCATTTCCACGCGCCAGCCCTGCATGCTGCTCAGGCCGTAACGGAGCCCGTTCCCTTGCCCCTGGGCATTATGCTTCTCCATCTTTGGCTTGTCTAAAAATGCTCCCATGGTGACCTTCCTTCAGTTCTGCAAGGAAGAAGGAAAGAAAAAAAAAATATTATTAAGATATTTCCTTGTTTGAAAATCCTACTGGAAGTTATTAAATAATGGCACAAATGATGTTAAGATGACAAAAAACCAGCTATAAAGCTAAGATTTTTCTGTGTCTTGAGTCAAATCTGCATTGCTTTCATCTAATTTAAACAAGGGCACTACTACTAGCTGAAATGCACTTCTCGTATTTTTGTATTTTCAGCTGTTTTACTTGAAAAATTTATATTCCACTATCATTCACGGTTCTGACAAAAGCCTCTAATATAAGTATGTATGAAATCAGTTTCAAAGAGGACTTGTTCACTGGCACACATCTGAATAGCTGTTCCCTGCGATTACTGAGCCATGAAAGAGTTCAATGTTTCCAGAACAGTGGCATTCCCTAGATCCCTACCTGCTGGCCACAAATTCCTGCTCGAACTCTGCTTTCCTCATAGTGATGGGGAAATGAAAGCAAACTGATTAAGTTTTCTTTTGGGGAGGGGGGCAGGTTCAGGGGGTTTTGTTTTGTTTGGGTTGTTTGTTTGTTTGTTTTTTGAAACAGATAAATTATCTCAATGACCGAGATGATGCCAGAGTCTGCATAAAGGAAAAAGCAACCCTGGATAATCTAAGAGCAGGACTGGGAAGGAACAGAGCAGCTGTCCCTTTAGGCAGCAGCAAGCCATTAGTTTGGCTCAGCCATCTTGTGAAAGCTCATCCTTAGATTTTCGGTTAAATTACGCAGCAAGCTTCTCAGATGTCTGTGCTGCAGATTTACTTAAAACCTTAATGTATTCATGCTTCACTGAAAGACAACTGCCCCTGACAAGTCTGAGGAAATCTGTTTGGAAATAAAATCACATGTATTGTAAATTCATGTGTGAATCAAGATTCAAGCCAGACCAATACACTGCACACCCTCTCCTCCTCCACCTCCTCACTGGGATGTGATGCAGCAAATATTTGTGCTTAAGAGAATAAGAGTTATATTTGCAGGCAGCGTCAACTGACTGGTTTATCTTCATGGCTTTCACACCCTAACCATCCAACCCACCCTTCTAATCCACATCGGGGTTATTTGTGCATTCATTATTAAAAAACCATACAAAATAGGTCACACATTTTACATACTTGCAAATTGTGCCCTGGGAAGCATCAAAGAGTCTGCAAATCACTGTTATACAATGCAAGGTAATGGAACAAGACTATGAGCTTTTCTGTTTGAAGACAGTGGGCAAAAATTAACTGTGAGACGAGACTCTGAAACACGTTTTACCTGAGGCCCAACTAAGCAGCTGCACTAGCAGAAAAATCAGCACATCGGGGGCTTTAGAAATGTTTAACTTGCATGTGGAATATATTTCACCAGTTTTGTAAGTGCCCACATCACTTTTTAATAACATCACTTTCTAATGCAATACAGCACCAGCTATAAGTGACACCATATATCCAACAAAGCTCTTCACATAGTATGTTCCAGCCACTGTCAACCTTTCTAAAACATCTGTGTTAGAATAAACAGTCAAGAAATGTTTATATTTGATCTCACCACAACAGTGATTCAAATGTGAGGCACGGGGACTGGTTATACACTCTCTGGCTCAACGTGCTTTGCTAACAAAAACAACACACATACTTCAGCGGTATGGAGGTGGCAGCAGCAGCACTACACCTCTGCTTCCTCTCACCCCAAACCCTGCTCTGAAGTTCTGTCTCTTCTCGAGCAAACACAAGATATGGGTGCCCAAGCAAACTGTAACCAACCAACAAAACAGAGCGTGCACCAAGCGTGTCTTGTGGCCCAGCACATGCAGGAGGGGTTCACATTACTGCAGTTGCTAGGAAAAAAATACGACTTAAGACTTTTTTATCTTCACATGCAACTCTACTGAAGTCAGAGTGATCAAAATAATTACAGAATGCTGCCATAAATCACATGGGGAATTATTTTGCAGGATAATACTTTCTATTCATTCCATGATAGCAGCAGAGTTTAACACCTCACACTTTTTTATTGTCAAGGAGATCATAAAACAGAATGCAGATATTCAATTCTTTCATCTTTAGAGCTTAAGAAGCAGAAACTGCCTTGACAAATACCACATTTTTGTCAAGTATTTGACATTACTGCTGTGTTTAAAACAAAAGAGAAAAGATTAAGAACAGGATACAGTTAAACTGACCACAAGCACTGTCAAAATTTGGACTCGTCAAAATTGGCAGTGTTCCTTCTGATCTCTCACCTTACTATGTACACAACATCCATGGTTGTGCTTTGTAAGCAGTTTGTCCTGCTCAGTAGTTTATCCTGTAAACCCCAATAAAAATACACACACACACACAGGCCACATGAAGTTTAAACAACTCCTACAGAACTGCCAGCACACTTCCAAAGTTAACCAATCCACTCTCCATTTAAAAACCACGTTGTCTTATTCCTCCCCCAGAAGGTAACCTGAAAGCCGTGGCTCTTCTAAATTAAGCCTTGCAGGTGAGATGTTCACCCAGGATCCTTCAAGGGTGTGAGTTCCCACCACGGATGTGAATACAACCAGGCAGAAGGAAAACCACAATGTGGTCATGCAACAACCCCTCTGGAAATTACCCCCAGCCCAGGGCATGAAGTGACCCCCTGCTGCAACTGCAGTAACAGAGTGCACTTCTCTTCCCTGTGACACTCCAGCCAGTCATACTCCCACTAGAACTTCAGTCTAAACCTGCAGGAAAGGGGGAGGCCGAGCTTTCAAAATCCTCACTGTATCCAAATGGAAAGCATCATTCACTAGTGGATAGAATGTCAGGCTTTTAGGTTTTTCCTAGAATTTTAATTCTCATTCAGAAAAATTCGAGTCAAATATGACCAATCTCTGAATTCTTAGGAGCTGGAGGCTCCCTGCTACTTTCCCCCCCAACTCTTATGTGTAGTTAAAAAAAATAATGTTAGTTTTAAAAGAAGGGAGAGATACACAAACACACACAAAGACTGATGCCTTGCCTCTTTCCGACTAAAAATACCTTTTAGACTTGTTTTTGAGTCCTTATCTACGGAAATATCTTTCACACAGCAGTGTCTACCTAAATTACCGGCACAGTTTTTCATTCTTTGATGAGGTGCTCTGTGCACTACAGTGATTAAGTTGGAATGACACCTTTGGTTAAGCGTTTAACTCCGTATGCAAATCTGATTAACCTATAGCAGTGCAAGTGCCCAAGTTACGGCATGACTTTGTTATGTAAAAACACGAGTCGTCAGACCCAGAACACACTGCATGAACCACGTGCAATAGATAAAGCAACAGATCCTGAACATGGCCTAACTTAGCCACTCTTTGTATTTCTTTAGTCATCTTTCTTAAGAGGAGTCCTCATTTTATGACCTTCATTCTCCAACAGGAGACAGAACCAATCCAATACTCTAGGATCCTCAACTTTTGGGATGCTTGAATGATGCACACGTGCTAAAGGAGACAGACATTCTACCTACTCCCATTAATGGCAAAGTAAGAGAAAATGCATTTGAATCATGAAGTCTAGTGGCAAAGACGCACCATCCACTGTTATTTTCTTGGAGAAGGACCATTCTGAACAGTACTATAAGGGTGGTGCCTCATAAAAAGATGAGGCGCAACATTTTCTTCAGAAATGGCAACTAACACATCTAGCACAGCGAATGCCACAACAATTAGCCAAGCAAACTTCAATTTTAATCTAACATGATTCTTTGTTCACCATCTCCATATCGGGGACCTCCCTCAGTTTTAGGTCCTAAAAAAGCAGAGCTTTCTGCAGTCAAAGTTTCTGGATTTTGGCTCCGAAGAACGGAGAGGCTTCTGAACAAAGCTAGAAGTGAAAACGGACCCCCGTGAACAGAAACAAATAAGCAGGAGACACATCTGTGAGGGCATTTAAACCCTGAGTTCTGAAACCCTGATTTTGTGGAGGTCACACTGAAGGACAGCATCTACAACAAGTGCACGGAGAACTCAAGCTGCAGTTTGCAGACCGCAGGAAAAGCAAGAAGAACACTGCACAGGGCCTATAAAAACCAACACAAGTAACAAGACCTTGGATAAAGCACAAGAGCGCCAAATTTCAAAGGACTGCTGCATTAGAAGCAAAACTGAAATAATGAATGGAGCATGCCAAAGAGTCAGTAGCTAAAACTCCTTGAAAATAGACACAACTGGAGAACAGAGTGGCAAAGAAAAGGAGGGTAATTAGTATACCAGACCATGAACAACCAGGGACAACCACAGATACATCAATGGAATGCATGAAATCTCTTTGCCCCTTCATTTGTTCCCCAAATTGTGCTATCCAGGCAGCACAACTGTAATGCCTTCTGATACACTGGAAAATAAATTTTACTGCTTTGCTATTTGTCTATTCATTTGCTTGAAGGTTCAAGTCCTGCACTGCTCACAAAGGACAGTTAATATAACTCCACATTCCTCTATAAAAATACAACTTATTTTTCCAAGGAATTTGGACAAGGATTTGATCGTTTTGTCCAAGAAAACTAACCACCCCCATCTGAAACCTGTACTTCAACAATATGTAAATTAATAATCCTCTTAAAACAATGTGCAAGTTGTATTCCTTCCACCAGGATAAGCTGCTTACATGAACCACACTGAAGTCACAGGCACTTGTTCTAACTAAGCTGAGAAATACCCCCATACTCCGATTTCCTGGAACAATTCTCTCAGTGACATTACAACCCGTGTGTTGTAATGAGCACCATAAAGAAAGATTACAACCTTTCCTTGAACTGCAGGACACAGAGCAAGTCACCAAATTATACAGACTGTTACTGAATAGAAAAAGGGCATTTGTTCAACTTCAGCTCCAGCCTGATCCGCAGAATTTTCCCCTCTGCCTTCAGCAGGCTGGGTGCAGTAGCCAGACAGCACGGAATTGTGCAAACGTGGAAACATTTTCAGGAGTTAGAGCCTGTTGAATGAAAAACTGACAGAACGGCCTGGATGCCC